GGAGACAGAAAATAAATAACAACTAAGTTTCTGTTTGCTACCTTGTTCTTAGTGACTTATTTAATTCAATGTGCTATTGCTGACATTTGAATGGCAAGTGCTTTTTTCTTAGCAAACTTGTAATTATAAATTTTGAACTAAATTTCAGGTATAATTTTATTTTTAAGATAAATCCCTTGGGAAACACAGCCATGAAATGAGAAAAGTGATGACGAATATTTATTTATGTCTATTTATAAAAATAAATTTGCTTGATCTTTCAGGATTACTTCTGTTATATAGCAAGGCATATGTGAAATTCCTCTTTTTTTTTTTTTTAAGACTCACTCTACCCATAGCTGGCCCCTCTACATAGCCCAGGCTGGCCTCAAACCTGTGTCAATATTTCTGCCTCAGCCTCTTAAGTGGTGAGAATACAGGCATGTGCTACCATGTCTGGCTCTGAAACTCTTTTCGTTGTTTTTGAATAATCTTTCCTTTAAAATGACTTATTTCACTTGCTGCTCTTCCAGAGGATCTGGGTTCAATTCCCAGCACCCACACAGCAGCTCACAATTGTCTGTAACTCCTGTTCCAGGGGATCCGACACCCTCATACAGATACCAATGCACATGAAATAAAAATAAATAAAATAAAAAGATTTGTTCTATTTTTAGTTGTATGCACGTGTGTATGTCTATGTGTGGGTATTCATATGTGAGTGCAGGTGCCCACAGGAACCAGACATGTTTAATCTCTCTAGAGCTGGAGTAACAGACAGTTGTGAACCACCAATATGGGGGCTGGAACTCGGGTCCTCTGCAAGAGCAGTGCATGCTCTTAACCACTGAGCCACCTCTCTAGCACCTGAAATACAAGTTTTAGTTTTTGTTTCTTTTGAGACAGGTTCTCATGTAGCCCAGGCTGGCCTCCAAGTCACTATGTAGTTGAGAATGACCCTGAACTCCTGATTCTCCCACCAAGTGTTACAATTACAACTGTGTGTCACTACACTAGGTTGAGACAAGGTCTTGTTGTTTAGCCCTGGCTGGCTACAAATTACAGCAATACTCCTGCATTAGTCTCTCAAGTGTTGAGATTATAGGCATGAACTACCATGCCTTGCACACTGAAATTCATTTGTTGATGTTGGTAGTGTGTGTGTGTATGTTTGCGTGTGTGTACATATGTGTATGTGTTAAGGTCAACCTTGGGAATCCTTCAAGAGCCATTCACTTTATTGTTTTAATAGCATCTATTTATTTATTTGTGTATGTGAGACACATGTGGTTAGAAGACAACTATCAGGAACTGGCTTTCTCCTTCCGCCATGTGGGGCCCAGGTCATTAGGCTTCTCCTTTACCTACTGAGCCATCTTCATGGCCCTTGTTTTGGTTTTGGTTTTTGAGATAAGGTCTCATGAAACCCAGGTTGGCCTCAGACTCACTAAGATGACCTTGAGCTTCAGATCTTGTCTCCACCTCCCCAGTTCTGAGATTACAGAAATGCATTAGAAATGAAACCCAGGTCAAGTATTCTACCAACTGAGCTCCATTCTCAGTCCCTAGCCCCAGGAATTCTTATCCTACTGAATCTACCTTTGGTCAATGGGAGAATCTTCAGTTGGATCTTGAGTCCTCTGGGGATGACTTCAGTAGCTGCTGTGGCTTGTTATCTGATATCACAACATTCTATGATCGCCCTGTGCTGGAACCAACCATTTCTCTAAGAAACTCATTTCTTTTGATGGGTAGATGGCAACTCTAGATTACAGTATGGGCACTAAGGATGGGCCAGTCATTGTTTCTAGACCTTTTAGTGAGTACATGCATACATAGACACAAAAACATGAATCAAGTATCTATAGGGGAAGAACAGGTAACAAGTGTGACATAGATGAAGCATGGGGACTATGGTAAAGTTAGGAGGGTATGCTCTATGTGAAAGAGGCAGATCTTCAAATTCTTCAAAAGAAGCCAGAAAGGCTGGGGAGACAGCTTATATCAGTGAGAGGCTTGCCTTGCAAATAAGAGGAGCTGAGTTTGATTCCAAAGGTCTGTCAATCAATGCTAGGAGTGGTGGTAAGTGCTTGTAATCCCAGCTCTGAGGAGGTGGAGGCGGGGATTTCATGGGTTCACTGGCTAACCAGCCTAGCCTACTTGCTGAGTTCTAAGCCAGTGACAGACCCTGTCTCAAAACAAACAAAAATAAATAAATAACAGTATCTGATAAACACCAGATTGTCCTCTGGCCACCATACCATGTGCACACATGTACTTACACACAAACACACATATACACATTTGTATAAGAAACCAGAAATGGTGGGGCTGAGAGATGGCTCAGCCATTAAGAGAACTGGCTGTTCTTCCAGAGGACTCAGGTTCAATTCCCAGCACTCACAAGGCACTTCACAACTGTAACTCCAGTTCCAGGGGATCTGACATTCTCACACAGACATACATGCAGGCAAACACCAATGCACATAAAACTAAAAATAAGTTATTTTCAAAAAGCCAGAAATGGAAATTCTTTTTTTTTTTTTTCTTTTCTTTTTTTTGTCTTTTTTTTTTTTTAACAGAGCTGAGGACCGAACCCAGGGCCTCGCGTTTGCTAGGCAAGCGCTCTACCACTGAGCTAAATCCCCAACCCCCAGAAATGGAAATTCTTAATGTAATTTTGAAAAATACAACTATGCATGTATTTGTGTGTATGAATGCTTACACCTAAGGGTGGGGTCAGCTACGTGCATGTGGAAGGCAGAGGCTGACACTGGATGTCTGCCATACCCTCCACCTCATGTACTGTCTTCGGGAGGATCTTTTACTTCAGCGTGAGCTCACGGCTTGGCCAGTCTAGCTAACCGGCTTGTGGCAGGGACCCCCTTACTCTGTGTCCTGAGTGCTGGATTACATGAGGTCTGCTGTGCCCACCTGAATTTATATGTGTTCTGGGGACACACATTTGAGTCTTTCCACTTCCACAGTAAGTACTTTACCCACTGAACCATTTCCCCAACCCACTCACAACTTATTTTCTAAAATTAAATACCACAATGAACTAAACCTATCTGTGGCCAGATTTGGTTCATGAATATATACACCCACAAACTGGAATTTTTAAATAATACTTATAATATCCCCAAAGTCACACTATTACTAATATATATATTTAGGAACAATAATTCTCAAACTGCTTGTTGAGGGCTTCTTGTGGTAGAAAAGCCGAGCCTTAGCAGAGAAGGGAGAGGTTATTTTCAGGGCTAGACACGGACCCTAGAGCCTTGTACGTGCTAGGCTAATGTTCCACTGAACTAACTCAAGTTCCAACAGGAGAGAAATTAATTTTCCTCTCCTTAATGCTCTAAAATATTTCCATAGAAACGATTTTCCTTCATGACATGAAAAGGGAAAAGCTAGTTATCAGAACCAAGTCTTTAAAGGGAGCTGAAGCCAAACAATGATTTTATATTTAAGCACTCAGAATCTTTTTTTTGGTTTTTGGAGACAGGGTTTCTCTGTATAGTTTTGGTGCCTGTCCTGGATCTCGTTCTGTAGACCAGGCTGGCCTCGAACTCACAGAGATCCCCCTGGCTCTGCCTCCCAAGTGTGGGATTAAAGGCGTGCGCCACCACCGCCCCGGCAGCACTTGGAATCTTAAAACAAGAACCCATAAGGTGGTTTATGCCTGTAATCCCAGCACTCAGGACATGTAGACAAGGGATATCTTCAACAAGTTCCTAGTAGATAAGCCAAATTGGGGAACTACGGGTTCAAGTGAGATCTGCCCCAATATATAAGGCAGAAGGAAATCATCTAATATCATCCTCTGGCGTCCACAAGCAGACACACATGTGTTCATGTGCATCTGTATAGACACTTGCTTCCCACACATGTAAACAAAAATACATGCATATATATACATAGAAGAGACTGCATTTTTTAAAATTTCATTTAAAATTTGCATTTCCCACCTGGCAGTGATGGCGCATGCCTTTAATCCCAGCACTCGGGAGGCAGAGCCAGGGATCTCTGTGAGTTCAAGGCCAGCCTGGTCTACAGAGTGAGATCCACGACAGGCAGTAAAGCTACACA